CACACACACACACACACACACACACACACACACACACACACACACACCCCAGCATCTTCAGTATTTATCTCCTGCAAATGAGGACTTGCCCCCTTCAACCACTGCACAACTGTCAACTTCAGGAAACCAGTGCTGGGGCACCACTGCCACCTGTTTCTTGGACCCCACTCAAGTTTTACCAATTGCACCAATGACATCTTTTTTAGACAAGGACCTAGCTCAGAATTTTGCCTTGCATTTGGTTGTCCTGTCTCTTTAGTCTCCATTAGCCTGGTACAGTTAGTTTCTCTTTTTTCCTTAATACTCGTGGTCTTAGTCCTTTTGAAGATTACAGGCCATTTCTTTTGCAGAACATCTTTTAATCTGGGTTTGCCTGAGCCTTCCCTGTGAGGCAGAGTGTCCCAGGCAGCAGTGTCATGAAATGGAAGCTGGGTTCTTTTTGCATCTTATCAGCTTGCTTCTGGTTTAAGTTGTCCTATTACTGAGGATGTTTACCTTTTCACTTAAGAAGGTGTCTACTGTCAGAACTACTCTCCACTGTCAGAACTATTCTCTTTCTCTTTATAATTGATAAAAATTTTGAGAAGTACTTTGAATATGTGAAAATATCCTGTTTGTTGTCAAACTTTCCATTTGTTCATTTACTTATTTATATATAATTGTATGTAGTCATGGGTCCTGTGTTAATTGATGGATTATAACTCCATACCATCATTACTTAGCTTAATATGAAGATTGTCTCAAGTGTGGCAGGGAAAGCTCCTTCAAGCTGGCCTCTGTGCCTTCTTCACTATGTCTACATCCTCCTTGAGCACTTCACTGCTCCCTGGCACCACAAGATGCTCCAAGCTTACCCTGTCCTTCGGCCACCCCTTCCCAGAACCAACCATCTCCCCAAAGGGCCCTGGTTCATTTCAGGGGAAAGTGGCCCTCAGAGACCAAGATCTGAGTGCCAGATTTGTTCACTGCCATTAAAGTGTCATTGGAACCAGGTCTTCTCAGTAGATAGACCCAGGGAAGATACGTTATATATGTCCACAGCCATCCACATACTTACATCTGTATTCCTCAGTCTCTGTACACTAAGCTGTATGCTCACCAAAACCTTTAGCTCCAGTCCGACACCAGAGGCTCATTCTAGTTTTCTGTCTCTGCATTTATAACTCCCTTCGCCAAGAGTGAGAAACTGGCTTTTATCACCCCAAATCATTTACCTATCAGAGTTTATTACCTGTAAGTAACAAGTAAGTGCCCCATTTCTACCACCACCCCTCCCTGCATGGATACCCCCTCTCCCTGCTTTTGCTGCTCTGTGGAGCTCCTCTTCCTTCAGTCCTGGCTCTAATACTCCACACCAGCTCAGCCCCCTGGAAGAACACCTTCCTTCCCCTTGGGGCTCAAGCACTCTCCCTGGAACCCTCTGTGGGTGCCCTCCTCACCCTCCTCTAGTTTTCATCCTGTTTGAGACCTAACCCTACCACGAGTGCCCACCTTCCTGTGCCTGACCTAATGGCTTCAGGACTGCATTTTTTTTTAAAGGGTGTCATCATCTATTTGAGCTTTGTGAGATCAATGACTATTTTTTAAGTTTTTCTGAATTCTAGAGATGTGCTTAGAAAGTAGCATCAGTGGGGCTTCATGACTAATTAGAAAGAGTGAGAGATCCAGTTGGATGTTACAATTAATTCATCTCATAGATATAGACTGAAGGTCCCTGGGGGAAGGAGACAGCAGGAAGACTAGGAACTGTTTAGACAGATGAAGTCAACCCCAGACCCTAAGATCTGGAGGAGCCTGGTCCCATCCCTCATTGTACAGACCATGAAACAGGTCCTAGTTGTTCATGACTTGCTATCTTCTCTGTTCAAGATGAATTATGCAGTGAGTGCAGGACTGGTGGTAGGCATCTTCGTGGGGTTTCAGAAGAAAGCCTACACATCCCCAAGCAATCTTCCTGCCCTTATTGCTCTGCTCATGCTGTATGGGTAAGTCATTTGGGCTCCTAACTAATGGCACCAAAGGGAAGCCAGGGGTGGGGTGGGACTTCCAGCAGTGGTAGATGCACAGGGTTAGTGTCCAGTCCCTAGCAGGGTCTGCATCTGCTAATCAGGAATCTGGCTTCTGTTTCTGACTTTTCCAATAGAGGTATTTCTAAGGCCAGTCCATTTAGGGACATTGGGAAGGGATCCACATAGTCTGACTCTTCTTCCACTCCCACTGTGGCCTTGTCTGGAGTCTGGGAATTGGTCACTCCCCAGTTCCTCCACAACCCTGAGTCATCTATGGCCACTTTGCCCATCTCTGTGCTTCCATCTGTACTGCCCAGGGGTTCTTTTCACATAATAGAAAACTCCAGCTGGAAAGCTGCTCCTGAGTCAGGCTAGAGGGTGACAGAGATTCAAGTCCAGCTGGTTGTAGAGCCCATCATGCAACTTTATATCCCAGGCCTACCTCTTTTGTGGGTGTAACTATGGACAAGTAAACCACCCATGTGGGGCCCAGTTTCCTCATCTGAAAAATGGAAATAATGATCCCTGCCCTTCCTATGTGGGCCAGTAAAATCTTACCAGAGCAATGGTTTCCATTCATGTCTCTTGGAAAAGGGGAATTCAGAAGCCAGGGAACTATGAACTGTGATGATGAGCTGCTGGGGACCTTCAGCTTTGCTTTGCTGATCCAGACTAGAGCCAGAAGCACTGCAGGGTGAAGAACCCTCCTGTATATTGTGTTTCACAAAATACACACACAGCCACTGTTATTTGCTCCTCACATGACCCATGAGATGGTCAGGATGGGCCTTATGATCTTCATTTAAAGATGAGGCATAGAACTTAGGGATGGAGCATCTCTTATTTTCCCCCTGGGACTCTGGCCATTCAAATGTGTCACCTCACACATGAGGGGAGTACATCCTATCTAGGTACAGCTGATAGGATGACAATTGGAACACTTCCCATGGTATTGCCATTTCACACAGATGGGCGGTCATTCCCATGATGTACCCAGCATCCTTCCTGTTTGACGTCCCCAGCACAGCCTATGTGGCTTTGTCTTGTGCTAATCTATTCATCGGCATCAACAGCAGTGCCATCACCTTCATCTTGGAATTATTTGAGAGTAACCGGGTGAGTGTGACTTTCTTGGCATCTTTATTTGATTAAGAGTATACTGTTTGATTAAGAGTATATTGCGTACTAGAGAGTATGCAATGGCCAAGCAGAGCCATGGGCAAGCACTGCATGTGCAGATGCTCAGTGCTTAGACCAGCATTGTTGTCTTCTTTCCCTCCCAGCATGCCTTTCTTCTTGCTGATCTGCATGCTCTGAATGTTGCATTTTCTAAGCCTATTCTGCAAGCTATAAATGACTGCTAAGACCCTGACTTTTTAGATTTTCATATCCCTTTCAAGAAAGTTTCCTCTGGGACTGTGAGTGTTAGGTTTGTTAGGTTTCCTACACACACACACACACACACACACACACACACACACTGACTCTGGTAGGTATCACATTTAGGTGATTTCAAAATGTAAAAGGAACAAAAGACATATAATGAAAAAATCTCCTTTCTACCCCTGTTTCTGATTCACCCAGTTTCCTTCTCCAGAGGAAACCTTATTCAAGTTTCTAATGTGTTCTAGAGACATAAAGTAAATATATAAATATTTTTTCTCCCACTTCTTATGCAAATTATAACATATACCATGTACTATCCTGCACCTGTTAATCCCTAGGACAGGATTAGGAAATCATGGTCCTGAATGACTCAAATGTTTTGAGCTACGAAGTCCACTTGTCCTGTCCATACCCTCTGACTTTCCCTTCCAGAAAGAAATGGCCAGCTGAATCCTAAAAGAAGTGGCAGTAGCTACAAGGCTGCCTTTACTCCACACTCCCACTTGCTCTGTCTGAGTCCTTTCATGGCTGTCCTCAGAGCATTCAGGTTTGCTGGTGTCCCTGTATCCTCAGGCACTTTGATAGCCCTTCCTTTCCTCATGAATTCTTCACAGTCCAAGGGGTGGGCACCAGCCAGCATATCTGCACTGTGCCCTTGCTGGGAAAACAGAGGGTAAGTCTGTGCTGAGGCCCTAAGCTAACCTCCCATGACCTCCTAAGAGCCACTTTCCCCCAGACCTAGTGAGGTTTTCTGTGGCTACTGAGCCAGGAATTAACCCACCTGTGCCATTAATAATAGAAATATGGCAGATCACAGACCAGAGGGACATGGATAAGAACACAGAGCTAGAAGAGGGCCTACATACCTGGTGGATGAAAATGCTGCTCATCAGAGCTGTTTTTGCCACAGGCTCACAGCCCACTGTCTTAAGAGGGTGTGTTATTTCAGAATAATTAAATAGCAAGCTAAAAGGAACTCAGAACATTCTCCCTCCTGCAGTCATATTCAGCCACATATTGAGCACTTAGCCATTTACTAAGCACTCTTCTTCCCATAAAAGCTGCTTACTTGATCAATAAATGCTACAGAAATTTCCAGTATCCCACATGAGGCTCTTAGGGTAGCTGCTATCATTGCTTAGTTGGGAGGCATTTACTAGGTGAACACCATGTGACAGATATGTGAATGGAAACAAGTGTGACTCACTCATCCTATGCCCAGGAGTTCCTGTTCCAGCAAGGAAACAAGCTGCACATCAAAGTTAGCAACTGACAAAAGCCATGATATATGGTAGTCCATAATACAGTGTTCGAGAGAACATCAAAGGAGCAAGAAATGTAAAAGACTACAGATCAAAGTGGGCCAGAGAGCTGGGCTGCAGGGATTAGAAGCATCTTATGGGGGATTTTCAACTTGAATCAGGCCTGGAGTAAGTAGAATAGTATTAGCCTATTTAATGAATCATAAAGTACCTACAATGAGCTAACCACTGTACAAGGTATTTAGGGAACCAAGGTATTTAAGTGGAGAAAGTAGGTGCATTAAAAAAAGAAATAATCCCAGGAATGTGGTAAGAGAGGAAAGGATAGTTAACCCAGGAATCAGAGGAGGCCTAAGAGAGAGGGGACTGCTTGAGTGACTCTCTAAAGAAGGGTAGGGATCTTGTCAGAGAGCACAAGGGAAAAGAACATCCTTTGCTGCTAAGAACTATAGGTGTCAGAAATTGCAAATGCCACTGGGCCTGGTGGCACAAGCATGTAATTCTAGTCACTTGGGAATCTGAGGCAGGAAGATCCCAAGTTTGAGGTCAGTCTGTCCATACACGTCTCAAAATAAAAAATACAAAGGTCTGGGGATATAGCTCAGTGGTAGAATGCCCCTAGATTCAATCCCCAGTACAGAGGAAGAGAGGGAGGAGAGAGAGGGAGAGAGAGAGGGGGAGAAGGAGAGAAAGGGAGGGGGAGAGGGGAGGGAGGGAGGAGGAGAAGAGAAGAGAAGAGAAAGGGAGGGAGACCCCAGTCACACTCCTAGCAGCTGCTGCATCTTCTGGCAACAGGCATCTTGGAGGACTCCCACACCATGGCAAAGAAAGTCTTCAGAAGAGCTGCCCAAAGAGACAGCATCAGGGCCGCTGCTTCTCCATGGATTATTGCTGTAGTCCATGGAGTCATGGAGGGTTAATTAAGGAAAGCAATGTGCATGTTCTTTACAGTTAGCCCCAGTGCCCACATAGCACTGAGCACAATAAATATTCAGAAAATGCTGCTGGGCTAGGTATCAGTTCCTACCCACAAGAATGACACAAGGAGCCCCAGGCATTGATTAGTCACGAATTTATTATTACTTCCGTGGCCTAGTCCTGAGGCACCTCCAGTAAGTACTTCAGGATGTCTACATCAAACCCTCTGTATCCTGCCTGACCAATCCCTCCTGTGGCCAGTCTAGCTGGAAGTCCTTTTCCTGCAGACCTCCTCTGCTCCCACCCTGAGAGGGCATCCCGGCCCACCTGCTCAGGACAGGGTAGGCAGCATCAGCCCTTATATCTAACAGTTGTCCTTCTGTTTCAGACGCTACTCAGGTTCAACGCCATGCTGAGGAAGCTGCTCATTATCTTCCCCCACTTCTGCCTGGGCCGGGGCCTCATTGACCTGGCCCTGAGTCAGGCTGTGACAGACGTCTATGCCCGGTTTGGTGGGTGGCATTCAAGGTCCATGGAACACAGGCCCTGGATCCATTGAGGCAGAGAGGATTGCAGGATACAATCATATCTGTACCCTGGGCTGGGGAGGAAAGGCACTGTGTTGGCTTGGGTTTATTCTGCCACCCAGGAGGGATTAGGGTGCCTCTGTTCTCATGGCTCAGGAGTCACAGGAGGGGCAGAGGGCAGGTTTTTACTCTCTCCCTCTTTGACTTGAAAGCCAAGATGAGACTCATGTTTGGCTCTTACTTAATCCCTTGTATGAGGCCTGGTCCAGTTGGGCCTATTGTAGCCAGGTTTTTAGGGGGTACCTGGGGCAGCTGACACAGACTCAAACCCTATTGATGTTCAGTGGCCTCAAATCTCCAGGTGAGGAGCACTCCCCAAATCCATTCCAGTGGGACCTGATTGGGAAGAACCTGATTGCCATGGCAGCAGAAGGGGTGGTGTACTTCCTCTTGAACCTCCTCGTCCAGAAACACTTCTTCTTCACCAGATGGTATGCCCTTGCTGCACCTGGGGGTTCCAGCGGGCAGCTCAGTGTGTCTTGGACTGAAATTCATACTAATATGGTCATTTCTTTCCTCAGGAGTCCCACTCCATGATGATTTTTTTTACATTCTCAAGGCCCGGCTTATTCTAAATAACACAGGAAGAGATGGGTTAAAATAGGCATATTAGAATTGAAGCCAAGTCTCAACTTTAAACTATTTAAAATAGATGTCACTAGTTTTAATTCTTTATTTTAATCTTCTCATTTAATTACCACATATTCATTTGAAATTAGACAATAGCATTGCAAATAACAATGGTTAAAAAAGCATCCAAAGAACTAGGAAATAATTTTGAGAAAACACAAAGTATACCCTTTTGCTAAGTAGAAATTTGAGTGGGGTTACCATAGGACAGAGAGAATATGGGGAGTAATATAGGGGCTACGTGCCCCATGAGTGCAGCCAGGAGCCTGTGAAGGGTGAGGGGCAATGATTCACCTTCCCTCCCTGGATGCTGGATAATAGCTGCTAACTCTAACTTTACCAGGACTTCTCAATGGCTGGGTCAACTGACCAGGGCCCCAACCCAGCTCAGCCCATCTTCCCTAGGCTCTTCCCCCAGGCCTTGCCAGCTCCTACCTCATTTTGAGCAGCAACCCAGGTTCCTCTGTAATCCGGACCTTTACTGGCTTTGCAATCACTGGGCCCTCCCTAACAAAATTTCCTGACAGTGTTTTGTTTCTTTTTCTTCTCTCTCTCTTTTTTTTTTTTTTTTTTTGTACTGGGGATTAAACCCAGGGACACTTGATCATTGAGCTACCTCCCCAGTTCTTTTCTTTTTTATTTTGAGAAAGGTCTCACTATGTTGCTGAGGCTGGCCTCAAACTTACCATCCTCCTGCCTTAGCCTCCTGAGTTGCTAGGATTACAGGTGTGTATCACTACACCTGGCCAGTGTTTTGTTTCTTAATATTTCCTCTCTCAGACTAATTCTAGTCACATGTAAATAAAGATTCCAAGTTTGGACTTGCCTTTTTTTTTTTTTTTTTTTTGGTATCAGGGATTGATGATTGATTTTTTGTACAAGGGTGCCTAACCACTGAACCACATATCCAGTCCTGTTTTATATTTTATTAGAGATAGCATCTCACTAAGTTGCTTAGGGCCTTGCTAAGTAGCTGATGCTGGGTTTGAGCCAGCTAAGGCTGGCTCCATCCTCCTGCCTCAGCCTCCCAAGTCACTGGGATTACTGGTGTCACCATACCAGGCCATTGGACTTGCTCTTTTGTGTATTTTTTAAGGTTTTGACCCATAGGAAATTGATTCATTGCAAATTAATCTGTTGTTCTACTCACAGGGTCATAAGGATTGAAAGAAATAATGGGTCAAACACTTTTGATAAATCATGATCAGGAATTGGTTCTACTTACAGGACACAGTGTGAAGAATTGTTCTTGGGATCCTCAGCCCTTGAACACCTCTCTACTGCTTTGGCCACATCTTTTTTTTTTTTTTTTTTTTTTGTAGTTGTAGATGGACAGCATGCTTTTATTTTATTTGCTTATTTTTTGTATGTGGTGCTAAGGATCGAACCCAGTGCCTCATGCTTGCTAGGCAAGCACTCTGCCACTGAGCCCCAGCCCAGCCTTTGGCCACATCTTTTAAAGGCCTTTGTGATGAGTGAGAAGGGGTGGAGAAGAGGGTTATTCAGCCAAATAAGCCATTACCATCACACTCTGAAGACAGCACAGTTGAGTGGGTCCTGCCTGCCTTAGATCCTAAGGAGGACCAAAAAGGCATGTCACAGCCTCTGGTTTCCAGCCACACCCATATTAAGAAGGAGCCAGGGAGGGGAGAAAGGAAGGGTGCTCTTGTCAAGGATAGGGCCCACACAAAGATACAGAAGCCCCAGAAAGTAATGGTGCATGGAATGGTAGGAGTTCAGATTAGCTGTGAAAGGTGAAGTGGGACAGGAGATGAATCTGGAGGGGCACAGATCTGTCATGAAATACCCTCTCATCTTAATGACTTGGGACTCAAGCATGAGGGCAACACACAACCCTGGGGGGTGTTTAAATCAGAGAAGTGATGTGATCTTACCAGGACTTAGAGCAGGGGGACCAGACAGAAGGCCATATTGGTACTCAGGCAAGAACCATGGTGACCTGGATAGAAATGGTGGCATCAGGAGATGGAGAAAAATAGGTTGATTGGATAAATAGCAGGAAGTTTTTTAGACAAAACTTGGTGATGGGCTAGATATAGCCAGTGAGCGAAAAAAATGGGGGGACTAGAGGCCTTGGTAGTCAGGGAGAATTTCAGAGAAGAAGCTATGCCTTTAAGGATGGGGGGGATTCCTTTAGCACAGCAGGAGAAAGAGAATATGTGAAAGGTAGCAAAGGCCAGCATGAGCTAGGGACCAGGGGCAGGTGCCAGTAGTATAGAAGAGTGAGTGCAAGAGATGTTCAGGTGGGAAGGGCCGGGGGGCCTGAGCACAGGGCTCTGATATTCCAACTGGGAAATCTGGTTTTAGCCTATAGCTGATGGAGAATGATGGAAGGTTTGATGGCATGGGATGACCAGATGACAGCAGTTTTTAAGAGGTTGAGTTTCATAGTGGGTGGAAGAACATAGAAAGCTTGGTAGACAGCAACTAAGCTTCATTGAGTTGTTGACATAGAAAAAATGTCTTAGTAATAAGTTTCTAGGTCCTGCGTCTTTACTCTGTGCCAGGCACTGTGCTGAGCTCATCTTCACTAAACTGTATGAGATAGAGTCTTCTCTCCATCCTGTGGTTGGAGGAGGAAAGGTTCAGAAAGGTCCATGACCTGCCAAAGGTCCAGCATGAACTGGATCCTGGAGCTGACTCTGGATGTAAACATTCAACCTCTCTGTCTGTGCCTACCTCCTGTTAGGAGCACTTTTTAGAATAAAAGCCCTAGAGGATGGAAGTCCAGGGGAAGCAGAAGTGAGGGAACTGGAGAAAAGGTCAGGTGAATACCACAGTGCCAAGGACTCCACACACCCAGCCCAATCCTGTCCTCTTCCTTCCCCTAGGATTGCTGAGCCCCCCAAGGAGCCTATTGTTGATGAAGATGATGATGTGGCTGAAGAGAGACAAAGAATTACTAGTGGTGGAGATAAAACTGATATCTTAAGGCTAAATCAACTCACCAAGGTAAAGAAAAAGGCATAGGCATGTTGCTTAGGAGGTGCTACTAGTTGGACCTCAGATGGCACAACGTTGTCATGTTCCTTCTCTAGAGCAAGTGATCTGCTTCTTCAAGCACTCTGTTTTCCTAATATGTGGCATCATCATCATCTCTGTGTTATAACTTGTCTTCCAAGAGCATCTAGGTACATGCTTTGACCCTGCTATTCCCCTTGGATATTGATACAGAACCTCAGTGAGAGCTCCTTCAGCTGACCATCACTGATCTTTCTCCATTCCATTTCTGCACAGCATGGGTCAGCTTCACAATTCTCAGAGCTTACAGCTGCTCTGTGAACACCCAAGTCAATCCATAACCTTTGAGCATTGATGGTTTTCTCCCAAACTAACCTTTCTCTGCTTGCTCTTGCTCTCCCTGCTCTAACCCTGTCTCAGTCCTCACCTCAGCTTCTCTGGATCTTGCAGGTTTATTCAGGCTCCTCCAGCCCAGCAGTGGACAGGCTATGTGTTGGAATCCGACCTGGTGAGGTAGGTATCTGCAGACCAACATGAAAATGCTTCAGAAAATCAGTATATGCAAGACTCCTCCCCTCTGAAGCAGAGATACCCAATAGGAATTTAACAAGAGCCACATATGTGAATTTTAATTTTCTAATAATTACATTAAAAAATAAAAGCATATAAAACTAATTTAATAATATTTTAAATTTTGCTCAATATGTCTAGTGTTATCATTTCAACATGAAATTAATATAAAGTATCGATGAGCTATTTTGCATATTTTTTCATTCTAAGCCTTTAAAATCCAGAGTATCTTACACATAGGGCCAATGTCCATTGGGACTAGGTGTATTTTGTGTAGTAGCCACATGTGGCTAGTAGCCTCTGTACTGGCAGTCCAGGTCTCAAATGCCTCCCCCAGATCACACACCGACACTGGAGCCTGACATTCCAGGCCCTCTTATTCTGCTGTGCAAGGCCAGCTCTGTTTTTTCTCCTAGTGCTTTGGTCTCCTGGGAGTGAATGGTGCAGGCAAAACAACCACATTCAAGATGCTCACAGGGGACACCACAGTGACATCAGGCGATGCCACTATAGCAGGCAAGAGGTGAGTGCCCCTGCCCCTTTCTGCCTCAGGGTGTAGCTCACAGGCCACATCCCTGATCCAACATAGGGAAGGTGATCTTCAGACCCTATGTCAGGACGACTCTGTAACCTAGAAAGATCATTGCAGAGGAAGGGGCCTCCCAGAGAGCATGGTCCTAAAAGTACATGAGAGATCCACTGAAAAATGGAAATGAATTGTGATTGTTAAGAGTGCTATTAGCACAGGTTCTTAGAAAGTTCTAGGAAACAATAAGTCAGTGATCCTTCATTTCTCTGGGGTCATTAACTTTTGAGCACCTAATAAACCCTGCACCCTCTTCCTACAAAAGATTACACCAGCAGGGTGGTGGCGCATGCCTATAATCCCAGCAGTTTGGGAGGCTGAGACAGATCAAGAGTTCAAAGCCAGCCTCAGCAAAAGTAAGGCACTAAGCAACTCAGTGAGTTGCTTAGTGAAAATGTTTCATAAAATCTAAAATAAAAATACAAAATAGGGCTGGGGATGTGGCTCAGTGTTCGAGTGCCCCTGAGTTCAATCCCTGGTACTAAAAAATACAAAAGAATACACCAGCACCTCCCATGACCTCTCTCCACACATTTTTGCAAAAAGTTTCAGGGAATTTACTGAACCCTGAAGCATGTTCATAACCCTGCTGGAGCCCCTGGATCCCAAGTTCAGAATTACCATGATGAAGTGTCCTTTCTCTAGGTTGTTTCTAGATAGGGACTTGTTAAAGGACTCTTGGGAGCCCTAGGTCTGCAATGACTGTGTGCTGATGCTTGGCTTTGCCACACCAAAGAGTATAAAGGAAAAACTGGCCTGTGTCCTCAGCTTCCAGAGGGTAAATGCTGCCCTCTGCAATTTTAAACAGACTTCCTGCCTCTATGGGACAGGACAACGGATGACCTCTCACATGTTTGCCTCTTTGCTAGGTCCCTGCTTTGATTTCCAAATGTGTGCATTTGGTGTGCATTGCTAAAGCAAAGCAGGAAGGAGAAGAGTCAGCCTACTTATCCCCCTGGGAGAAGCTTTCCAGCCCAGATCTCTAGTCATTCTCTCTATGTAGGAAACTCACCAATTGCTGTTTCTTCTTGCAGTATTTTAACCAATATTTCTGAAGTCCATCAAAATATGGGCTACTGTCCTCAGTTTGATGCAGTCGATGACCTGCTCACGGGCCGAGAACACCTCTACCTTTATGCCCGGCTTCGGGGTGTACCAGCAGAAGAAATTGAGAAGGTAATAATGGTTTGTTGTGGCCATATAAGAGTTTGGCAAACCATAAGCCTGTTTCATGGAGTATGTTGATTTAGAGATGGGAAACTAAAGCATACTATCCATTCATTTATTCATTCCAACAAATGCTCTATAGTGTCTATTGGATGCCAAGTAATGATCTAGAAGCCAGGGATAGAGCACTGAACAAAGTAGGAAAAAAAAATTCCTACATTCATATCAAAAAAGATGTGTACACTTACCTATCAACCCAGCAGTTATACTTCTGAAAATTCACCCTGAAAATACACATCCCACAGTAAAAAAAAATGCATATGTACAGGTTATTCATTGCATTTATAATGCAAAATACTGGATATTACCTAAATGTTTAGGCAAAGTAGACTGGTTGATGAATTTATGGTATGCACACAACAAATCTTGTGCAGCTATTAAAAAAAAGAATAAGGAAGATCTCTGTGAATGATGGGAGTAATTTCTAATATTGTTAAATGGAAAAAATCAAAATGCAAAAGAACTAATAGAATGCTACTTTTATGTAAAAAAATAAATAAAAGATCATTTAAATGTCTGTTTACCTTCACAAATAGAACACAAAATGGGAATGGATTTGGTGATGAACAAGAGGGAGTTAAGATGGAAGAAGGGAAGGGATAATAATCCTCTGGGGGTATCTCTTTCTATAGTTTTAGCTTCTGGCAGATGTTAATATTCTACATATTCACATATAAAACTAAATCAAAAGAATGAGAAGAAGGTATAAATGGAAGGGAAAAGCACTGCATATAAACTGAAGCTAATTAAACCCAATTTTATTTCAAATAAATATCATAAGCATACAGATGTGGGAGAAGAACTAATACAACTGACGAACATAGTATTCGGCTATTCTCAGTCTTGGGCAGGGTGCAGTGAGGACAAATAACTTCAAGTTCTGAGTTCTTTTTAGATTTTTACAGTGGCATAGAAAAAGCAATTCTGAAACCATTTTAGATGTGTTATATAGGATTAAGTAAATGGATAAATGTGTTGATGTTTTTGGAGCCAACATTCTCACCATGGAAGAAGTAACAATACAAACACAGAAAGGGGAAAAGCAAGAAGGAGCTCTGTGGGGGTGGATTGGAGTTAGAGTTAACACTGTGAATTCATGAAATACTTACATGCTTTTATGTAAGTATATAGGTAGGCTCATGTATAGTGCACATTTACACACATATATGCTTGTGCATATTGGTGTGTTATGTGTTTATTGTCCTCTGAAAGAGCCAAGAAGGAAGAATACCCTAATAGCTGTGAGTGTACTCTGCCAAGATTTTGATCTTTATAATATTCCCTTCTAAAGGGAACCACGACTCTTCAAATAAGTAACTGATGCCAAAGCTGGAACATCTTATTGTGCTAAAAGTAGGAAGCAAAATGAAGAGACATGTCACAAGAACATAGGAGCCATCCTGAAGGGACCACCACAGACAAATATGGAACAATCTGAAAATCAAAATAATGAAATATCATGATAGGTTGTAAAACACTGGGGGCAAAGTAGGAATTTGTGTCTGATACTGTTAGATAAATAGAAGAGAAGGGAAGGATCTTGCTTACAGTCAAGTGCTGAGCACCAACTGATTAGTGTGAAGAAGTTCTGGAGTCAGAAAACGACTTTGCAATGACCATATTAAAGACCAGATTGCACAAAAATCACCAATGGATAATAAATCTAGGGGAATTTTTTATGAGAGAGGATATTTACATGTTTTAAAAGAACACCTGCACAGATAGCTTTTTGGTTGCAAGGGGTGGAGAGCAATTCATAATGGAAAAATTAGGCAACATATTAACTGAGTGATCAAAATTAATGTTATCTACAAGAGACAGGTGGACATCTCATGCCCCAAACAGGATACCCAAGGGACACAACTTCACTCATATGGAATCCTTACTAGAAATGTGTAATCTGAATCTTATCATGAGGAAATATCAAACAAACTCCAAAGAAGGAACATTCCATTTTTAAAAAATATTCTTTTAAAATATCAAAGACATACAGACAAAGAAAGGCTGTGGAAATGTTCCTGTAACAGGAGGCTAAAGAGATATAAAGAGTGAATTACAGACAATAGACTGCATCATGTGCTGAAGCAAGGTGTGGGGGAGTGGGGTGACATGAAGAACATTATTGGGACAGTTGATAAAACTGAACTATGAACAAGTAGATTAGATAAATATCATGACAGTGTTAATTTACTGACCTTGATAACCAAACTACAATTGTGTAAGAGAATATCCCTACTCTTAGGAATTATGCATGGAAGTACTTAGAAGTGAAGGTCCATGACTTATCCTCAAACAGGTCAGGAAAAATAAGTGTGTGTGTATGTGTGTGTGTGTGTGTGCGTGCGTGCGTGTGTGTGTGTGTATGTGTGTGTGTGTTTGTATGAGAAAGAGAGGGGGAGCTGATGAATGTTCTTTGTATTTCTTTTATTTTTACACATTTTTAAAAGTTTGAAACTATTTGCAAGTGAAAATTCAAAAATGGAGCTTATAGTCTAGCAGGAGGGACAATTGATAAATCAGTGAAGTATCCATACCAGGCAGAGTACAACAAATGCAGAAGGCAGAGCATGGTGCGATCATCTCCATCAACTTTCTTAGTTTTTTCCTCTGTGCAAATGTGCACGTGTATATACCTCTATCATGTGCACGTGTATATACCTCTATCATGGTTCCCTGTAGAACTCCCTCAAAACACTGCTGTCATTCTGTTTAATTTCTATTGTCTGTCCTTGCTCCCCATCTGTGAGCACAGCATGATGGTTGTGTTTACCATTGTTCTCTAGTGCCTAGCACAGTGCCTGACATAGTGAGTGCTCTGTAAGTATGCATTAACTGCACAAAACTTTAGGTGTGACTCTGTTGAGGGGTGGAACCAGTGGGTCTTGGACCCACCATCTTCTCAAAGAGACCTTAGGATTCTTCCTTTTCCAATAGCCACAGTCTAGGACATGGTAAGAAATGGTCTCTCTATCTTTGTAAGGCCTAAGTTCATTTCCCTAAGTTCACTCCCTTGATGAGTGTTGAGCTGCCCAAGACACACTGGTATCAAAGGTACAGAGTGGAAAGGAGACTCTGTCTGCTCCTGAAGCATGTGCCAGAGGACAGGAGCCAGCAGGTAGCCCTAACTGGGTCTGTAATCCTGGACAGGTGGGATCTGCAAACGGGAAACTTTGAACTATGGAGGTCTGCCGTGTGCCCATGTTCCTCCTCTCCAGATGGGTTTTCATTCTCTTCTTTAGGTTGCAAACTGGAGCATCCAGAGCCTGGGCCTGTCTCTCTATGCTGATCGTTTGGTGGGCACATACAGTGGGGGCAATAAGCGGAAGCTCTCCACAGCCATGGCACTCATCGGCTGCCCACCACTGGTGTTGCTGGTGAGGGCATCGCAACCGGAAGTTGGGGGGCAACCCTAAGAGCCAAGCAAGTCAGCATCTCTCTGGTCGGGGAAATGTGTCCCAGGTCCTGTGGCAGTTTGTTTTCATCTGGATTGCACCCTGCACGGTTCCTTTTGAGCCATCAGCCCAGTGTTTGGTTTGCAGCTTTCAGGCATGGTCTGATTAGGAATTGCTGGGAAGTCTCTCCAGGGCCACAGTTCACCATGGGGAAGTTCTGTCCCCTCTGGGGAATGTTGGTGTCTGGTTGGAAATTACTTCAGCATGAGGAGGTCTGTGTGGGATAGCTGTGGACAGACATGTTGATCTGGATCCAAGGCTCCCATGACTCTCCCCAGAGCTGGAGCAGGCCCAGGGCCCCAGACCTTGCAGTCTGAGGTTCATGAGGGCATGGGTCACAGGACATGGAGGGAGCCAAAGAGTTACCTGGGTTATCTTCCTCTCCTTACACACTTGTAGTTTTGTGTTGTCCATTTTGGTGGGGTTTTTTTGTTTGTTTGTTTTGTTTATTTTGGCCTTTTTAAAGGATAATGCCGCAGTCTGGCTGGGCACAAATAACCGAGCCGCCACAAAGCCACAGCAACTACTTTATTCCCCAATTCTCACCGGCACTGCACACACACTACTCGGGAACACACTCCTTCCACCGGGCAGATTTCCAAGGCAGATTCCCGGAGCCTCCCTACTCCCGGAGCAGGGTCCATATACAACTCAATCAATCCAGCATCACAGCAATTATATACAGCTTAACTCAAATCATCATCTCAATGGTTCGCTGGTATCACCTTTCAACCATTCCCTCTGGCAATATGCCAGGCGTCATTCTGACTCGGCTGTGGCTCTCAACAGATAATTCTACCATTGCCTATATCAACTGTAACCTACTCTCAGGTTGAAGGAATCTAGAGGTGTACATCATGTTTCTTTACTCTGATTCACCTCCAGCCTTCCAAGTGCTGCACCCAGGTGCCCTTCTCCCATCTTGCTGAGCTGGGAAACCTCTGAGAAAGTATCTGTCAGCTCATCCTTCTCAGCCAGGCTGCTCAAAGGGAGTCAGCTGGCAGAGGCTGCAGTGACCCAAAAAGGCCAACTCCAAGTCCACATGCCCCGCTCTCTCTCCCACCCCACAGGATGAGCCCACCACTGGAATGGATCCTCAGGCGCGACGCATGCTGTGGAACACCATCGTGAGCATCCTCAGAGAAGGGAGAGCCGTGGTCCTCACCTCTCACAGGCAAGAGATGCCCAGGGTGGGGAAGGTGGGTGGGAGTCCCTGCCTACTGCCTCACCTCCTCTCTCCTGTACCACAGCATGGAGGAGTGTGAGGCGCTGTGTACCCGGCTGGCCATCATGGTGAAGGGCACCTTTCAGTGTCTGGGCACCATTCAGCACCTCAAGTACAAGTAAGCAAGCTGGGGTGGGGGTGGGGGGGTGGCTCCTTTTTGCTACCTTTTGTGGGGTTGAATCAGGCCCTGTGTTCTCTATGGATGCTTGGGAGAATCCTGCTGCCTCTCATCCCACCTGCTAGTGGTAGCTGGGCCTGGTGCCCCCGAGGCAAATGCAGAAAGCATTGTGCTGATAAGTTCCTCTGTATTGGGCTAATTGCTTGTGGTTAAAACACTGATTCAATGTCACCTCACTTATCCTAACAGGTCCACTCTGGTCTTTATCATGAGAGGCCACATCCAATATAAGAATGATTAGGAGACCAAACAACTTGGAAACCAGATTTCTTCTCTAGACTATTATATGCTTTTAAGTTTGAAAAATGACCGTAAGATACTAAGAATGCCAGTAGTCTTGATTAGAATTATCCTGTACCCATAAATTGTTGTAAATAATTCCTTATTTACAGTTTGTGTGCTGAAACTAACAACCAGTTAAAACAAGATTATCATTATATTGCCAGGTTCCCTTGCATTCTGACATGCCTTCTAACCTGGGAAAGAGTGGGTTTACAGTTGTGGATTTTATTTAAAACACTTATCAAGAGCCCAGAATCTAAAATCATCAGCTAGTTGATAAAAGGGACATCACAGAATCTACCTTACCTATGCGGATGTGCTTAATCTTAAGGATCAGTGAAAGTGTATTTCAGTGAAAAGGTCTAGGGAGAAAGGTCTAGTAGATGAGGTACATTTGGCAAATGGATATTTGACCCTGATTTCTTGAGTAATTACAGTCTCCAAGCTGGATATTAGTGAGGACATCAGCATGTAAGGTCAGATCTGTGTCAGCAATTCCTTGTGCCCAACTGCTGAGAGATGACCCCATACTCCTTTGCCTCTCATTCTCCATGACTGAGGAGATGATTGAAGAGATGAGAAAGCATTTTCCCATGTGGAGGGACATCAATTCTCTGGAGCTGAAAGATGGATAGAGAATGGCCCTAGGTCAAGGAGGGACCTTACAGTGATAGTGTACATCATACACCCTGACCTAACCATATACAGATGCCAGAGGACCACCAGCACACTCTCTGGTAGACCATCCTTCATCCTCCCTGTGAAGATAACCAGCAACCTGGTGAAGGGAGGAAGGAAGCACCAATGGCCCTGTTTCTGGAAACTTCCTTAGAGAAAGCGTGCTATCTTCCCAGGCCTTTGCTTCCCCCCCTGGCTGGTGTCCTGAAGGCCAGTCAGCCCTTGCCACCCCATTCAGAATGCACTGGTCACATGTCTTTATCAGCGGGCCTGGGATCTCCACAGGGCTACAACCACCTTTGACTTCAGAAAGTACAACTTTGCCACTTTACCACACACATTCAGACCTTTAAAAACTGGTACCAAAAGGTTTCCCCAAGGACTACTACATTTCTTTCTTCTAGTTTTAAACACACACAGATGGCCAATGGTATGGGCCTAACCCCAGTGTGCAGGATGAGTCTACTCCTTATTTTGTGATTGCCTTTGACCCCCACCCACTGACAGGCCTGTACTTCACTGTGCATCCCTTAGGTTTGGAGATGGCTACATTGTCACAATGAAAATCAAATCCCCAAAGGATGACTTGCTTCCTGACCTGAATCCCGTGGAACAGTTCTTCCAGGGGAACTTCCCTGGCAGTGTGCAGAGGGAGAGGCATTACAACATGCTCCAGTTCCAGGTCTCTTCCTCCTCCCTGGCCAGGATCTTCCAGCTGCTCCTCTCCCACAAGGACAGCCTGTTCATCGAGGAGTACTCAGTCACACAGACTACACTGGATCAGGCAAGTCCACCCCAGGGCACCAGGCACAGGAGAGAAGACTGTGCAAAGACTGGGCCAGAATGCCAACATGGGCTGCAGTTGACACAAGAGGCAGGCATGACATTCCCGATTTTTAACACACTTTTGTCTCTATTAGGGTAAATCTTGATAAATCAGAAGTTGTTTTCTAATAATGTTACTCATCAGCAAACAATGTCATTGATTTTTTTTTTTTAGATCGTTCTTCTTTTACATGTTATTTCTTTCTTGTTGTGTGTGGTGGTGGCTTTTTTTTTTCAAATCAACTTTAGTGATGTGTAATTTACATACAATAAAACACACCTATTTTAATTGTACATTTTTGTGATTTTTTTTAAAGTTTTTTTTTTCAGTTGTAGATGGACATAGTACCTTTATTGTATTTATTCATTTTTTAATATGGTGCTGAGGATGGAACCCAGTGCTTCACACATGCTAGGTGAGCACTCTACCACTGAGCCACAACCCCAGCCCCACTTTGGTGAGTTTTTATAAACATGTTCCATCTGTATTTTTATAATGTAATCACACTCTTTATTGTGGTAAAAATATATATGTGTTTGTGTAAAATATATATAATTTACCACTTAACCATTTCTAAGTGTAAAGTTCAGGAGTGTTAATTACCATCACCACCACCCATCTCCAAAACTCTTTTCAGCTTGCAAAACTGAAACTGTGTCCATTAAACTGTACTGTTCTTCCTCCTCCACTCTGCTGCTTCTCCTAGCAACTATCATTCTTCTTTCTGTCTCTAAGAAACTGGCTATTCTGTGGACTTCACACAAGTGGAATCATGCAAAATTTTTCCTTTTGGGACTGGCCTATTTCACTAAGCATAATATCCTCATGGCCCATCCATGTTGTAGCATGTGTCAGAATTTCCTTCCTTTTTAAGACTGAATAATATTCCATTGGGTTTAAATGCCACATTTTGCTTATCCTTCTATTCATTCATCAGTGGACATTTGGGTTCTTTCTGAGTGTTTTTTAAATGTCTTTTGTTCTTTACTAAACACCCTGAAAGACAGTTCAACAAAACAGTAGAAACAGGCAAGTCACCCTTTACTCCTTGAAGAGGAGCTGGCTCACCTGCTCACCTGCACCTTCTTATCAGCCTTGAGCAGGTGAAGGCCAAACTGGATTCCTTAGGCAGGAGTTGTGTACACTGAATGAAGATCAGAAAAAAAGTCAACTACCTTTTCTTAGTTCCTTCTTTAACAGATTAGGAAGGTGCTATCTGAGAAATTGCCTTGCCTTGGTTACTCCAACATCTGAACCCAAAGTCCTTTCAAACCTCTAACAGGAACTTCCTTGGCTTGGCTCAGATGCAAGCTCTGTCCAGGGCACCAGTGGCTGGGTTTGTGTGCATGTACCAGCCTCCCCTAGTTAGGACACCAGTCACCCCAGTAGGGCTGTATGATAATTGGAAAATACAGAGTTAACTGGGTGGGTCGTGTAGGGTGCTGTTTTTCTGGAGACATCTACTTACTCTTGCTCGTCGTTTGACTCCAGGTGTTTGTGAACTTTGCTAATAAACAGCAGACGGAACCTCATGACCTTCCTTTGCATCCTCGAGCTGCTGGAGCCCGCCAAAAAGCCAAGGTACTGCTTGAGGCAGATCCTGGGCTCCCAGGCCCAGTTGGCCCACTGTACCTGAGGTGACCCAAGGCTCACACATACCTCCTGCTAAGAGCTCCACTCATACCATGCCCCTACCATATCCTTGCTACATCCCCACCACTCTACGCTGAAGGTCTTGTTGTTCCTATTGTAATCTGGAAACCATTTGGATAGGGGAGCATATTATTGTTGTTGTTGTTATACCAGGGATTTAACCCAAGGGTGCTTAACCCCTGTACCACATCCCCAGCTCTTTTTATTCTTTGAGACAGGGTTTCACTAAGCTGCTTAAAGTATCACTATCACTAAGTTGCTGAGACTGGCTTTGAAAATCCTCCTACCTCAGCCTCCCCAGCTGCTGGAATTGCAGGCATGCACCACCATGCCCCAGTGGGAGAGCATTTTTTTAGAAGAACTTTCCCACATGTTTTTGTTTAGAAATAAGAAGCATGGAAGATAGGACAGAATATGAAAACATTTTGTCTATTAGGATACTTGATATCTATGTCTGGTCATGCATTAGAATTTCAAAGGAAGGGAGTGAACCAGCATCTGTTTCAATGGTGGGCACATTTAGTTAGATCAAGGGCCATGTCTGTTGTTGGAAGGGGGCTCTTTGTTCTTTATAAAAGTATCAAGATGAAAGAGGAAGAAGCAATAGAAGGTGTAGATCCTGGCCTGCAATAACTCTTGGGTATGTCCAGGTACCTGCCTTGGCACAGTGCCCATGTGAGAAGCACACCCTGCCCTCCAAATTCCCCAGACGGAGAGATCGCTAGAGAAAGCATGGAAGTGCCAGTTCTCAGGTGACTTGACTTAAGCCTGGGGTTTTAAAGGGATGAGTTGACTCAGCCTTTCTCCCCTGACTTACCTGAAGAATAAACCAAATCAAATCAAAGCATTTTCCAAAAAGCAGAAGTATGCAAGATCTTATTTTCCATAGATTTCTCATTCCTCCCAACCAATTTCTTGATTGCAAGAAAAACCAAATCTAGTGAATGACTGAGATACTGCTTTCCAAAACAGGGCTTGTGATGAATGTTTCCCTTTCCTTTTTTTTTTTAATATTTTTATTAGTTATTGATGGACCTTTATTTATTTATTTGTTTGTATGTGGTGCTGAGAATCGAACCCAGGGCCTCGCACGTGTAAGGTGAGCCCTCTACCACTGAGCCACAACCCCAGCCCCTTTCCCTTTCCTTTTGACCAGTAGAGGTCTCACGGCCACTTAGCAAGGTGGAGTTGCCCGCGCACCCCCCCCCCGCCCCCCCGCCAAAATGCCAGGCAAAGACACCTATTCAGGGAAGGTTAGTTTTGCTGATTTCTAGTCACCATTTCTCACTTATAAATCTTGTAGTGGCTGTTGACACTAGTCAAAATGATTCTTTGAAATCAGCTTGCAATTATAAATCCTTTGGGGCTGGGGCTGGGACTCAGCGGTAGAGCGCTCATCTAGCATGTGCAAGGCGAGGCCCTGGGTTCGATCCTCAGCACCACATAAAAATCAATAAATAAAATAAAGGTACAAAAAAATTATGAATCCTTTTTATAACACAGATACATAATTGGGTAGCAAAATTGTTTCCTAGAACTTCCAGGGTCCACCCTGCTCCCCCACCCCCAGCCTCCATTGGCATACTCCATCTTAAAGGGCCAATACATCACCTCTGGGCCAGGCCAGGGGCACTGATAGTCTGTAACCTACAGCAAGTAATTCCAAATTTTCCCCTTTATTAGACATAATTTTTAAATTATATTTTTTATATTTTGGCTCACAAATATTAGAAAATCTACTGTGACATATTTGTTAAATTATTTATTATTATTTTATAATAAATTTTTAAATTCAAACAATATCTCTAATTTATGACATACTATCTTTACAAAGGTTAGCAATTCCTTTGTATGTAAACAAACCTGTCATGAAACAGAGTTAATTACATTCTTGTTCATATTACACCACTTTAAAATACTTTTTTTTTTAAGTACTCTACAGAAAAGGGTAATTTATCTCAAGGCATTCTAGAAAAGCTTTGCAGCTTGCTTCTGAACAAATGGGAGAGCTGAGCTTCAGGAAGTTCAGCAGGCTGTTGGCCTCACAGTCCCCAGCTGTGAGCAAGGCCTACACAAGGTCTAGAGACCTACTTATCAAGACCATTTTAAAGTTTGTCAGAGGACTTAGTCTTGGAAAACATCTTTTGGAATTAGGTTTTGTGTTATCTTAACCATCTATTTTATAAAAATAGGTGAGGATTGTTTTGATAGATGAGTAGGCGACAGATGATCAGACAACTTAAAAACATCCTAAATGGGTTTTAAGTATGTGGTCATCTGTGCTTTCTAAAGTCAGGAACAACTCAGATCAATTTCTGATCCTTATTTTCACACACTGTTGCAATTTCCCTGCCTCACTTTCAATCTTATCCATTTGTTTCCTTATGAAACTAATTTCATTGTTTAGAAGTACCTGATGCCTCATTGCACCACCTCAAAGCATATGCTGAACCTTGAATACAATAACAGTAGCCATTGCCTTAAGAGAATGGGTGATTTTAATCCAGAAAACTGAATAAACCACATTTTGAATGGACTGGGAAGGCCTGCCTCTAGCCCCTCTTCCCACACTCTCCCACACCTGTAGCAGGGATTGGTTCAGGAATTCCACCTACAATTTATGAATAGAAACAGAATATCTCCAGTTAGAAAGGTCACTTTGTCTCCTCTTCTCCAGGGGCATGGACTTGGTTCCTGAGTTTGATCTGGAGCCTGATATCCTGAACCCCAACTCAAATCCCACTCTATGCTCCATCCCCCAAATTTAATGTTCATGTTTCCTAGGAGCCACCTCTGTAGGAAGTGGACAAAGGAATTCTGGACTTGAGCCTGACCTGCCTTATGATTTCTTGGCTTTTAAGACAGTAAGGGCATGGTTACTTCCTTGGGCTAAAAAGAAAATCAAAAGACACCTAGCATCCTTTGGAGGTAGCAAGGAGGATGTGGCTTCCCTCTAAGATAGCAACCTGCATGCACTCCAGGGTGTGCGTGTGCATAAGGAACATGGACACCCTGAATCTTAAGAGCTGGGAACCCTGAACAATCACCTCACAGAAGAAGAAACAAACATGGCCCATAGCCTCGGTGATCTGACAGAACCACAGTTCCCTTAGCTGGGCTTCCTTCAAAGAACTTGTAATGTCTAAAAGCAGCTACTCCAGCTCTTCAGAAAACTTCGATGATAAGAGTCTATCTAACCTCCTTCCACAGGCCTGATATCCTTCAGCACTGCTCTTCCCTACGGCTGAAAGGAACGCGGGACTGCAGGAGCCTTTGCCCATGTGGTCATCCAAAAGAAACTGATCCACTACAGCAGCAAACAAACATACAAGGAGCACAGTGAACTCAGGAGGAGGCTCTTTCAGAAGGAAACCAGAGGGATAGCTCACCTGCAACACCTGAGGGTGAAACTGACCCCACCAAACAATAGAATAACCTTTCCATCCAGACCATGGGAGTAGAATCCCAGTCCAGCCTGCCATACCTTTAGCCTCAATATCACTCTTATTTCAAGTGAATCTGCTTCTGTGTATGTGTGGTGTGTGGATGGTGAGTTAAGTTTAATTTTCAAGGAGAAATAAAATGCAGTCTAATCACAAATCATCCTATTCACTGACCTCCCTGGTGTGCACCATCTAGAATGGTTTCAGATATTTTCTGTGGGAGTGTGCAGCTCCATATAGTGCCATAAACCTCCATGAGAGTTATTGCCACAGGAGCACTTTCCGCAACACAGGTAGAAGTGAATGGACTAGTGTCCATGTTGCATGTCAAATCTTTATAGGGTTTGAAGAAGACATCCATCTGGTGATGCATGTAAACACTGTCCATTGTCAGTGGGTATTATCTGAACCCACATTTCACATCTGTTTGCCCAGCACATTTGAATGCCTACCTCACAGGTATAATTAGGACAGGAAACAAAAGAGCATGGATAGGTAGGAGTGGCTCAGTGGCTGGATGAAATCTGACATGTCTTTGTAAACTTGGAAGTCAAGGCCTCATACAACACCAGGCCACACCCACCATGCAGACAAGTGTGTCCTATGCAGTGGTATCAGAGGGAATGGGTCATGGGGCACATAAAAGCTCACCAGGAGCTAGAAAATGATAGTTTTAAATCAAATCATTCAAAAGACTGTGGATGAGGAAAGCAAATTGACTTCTCTACCAAGACAATCTTCCCTCTAGGACCTGTGGCTGGGCTTCGTAGTGCTCATACCCAGTGTGCTTATTTTTGAGGAGTATTCAAGTTGGCAGGTTAGCCTAAATCTCCCTGAAAATGAGTTAACCTACTGAAAGATTCCCCCCATCTTGGTTCATTAAGATTTATAAAAAGGAGGGGAAGAAATAGAGAGAGTCAATTCAGAAAACAATACCACATAAAAGATGTTTCAGGCATATGACTTGCTTTCAGATTTTTGAAGTTTCCAGTTCTTCTTTGGGGAGCTCAAGTTTTCCAATAGCTGTAATCAAAGGAGAAGCTTCTTTCAGTGTGAGTAAAGAGCTCACAGAGAGCTTCATGTGTGCCTGTCATTCCAGCTTTCCTAAGAGACAGGAAGAAAAAACAGGGGCAGCAAAGCTCGGGGCTTGGAGGAAAGAGTCTCTGTGAAAGCTTGGGGACTTGCAGTGCAGCCCCTGTGAAGGAAGTTCTGCCCCAACAGGATTGTGAGATGGTGGAGAAAAGGAGAACATTTCCCCTGGTAACAGAGAGTGTTAGCCTTAAAGGACGGCTGTTTCAGGAACCCAGACAATTGAGGCTCAAGTTTCCTCAGTATGGTGGTTTAGGGCCTCAACAGTTGTCCTGAGAATAACAGTTCATTAATCCTAATATTTATAAGTAAAAAGATAATTATCATATTTTGTCCAAAATGATCATCAGATTTGGGAAAGTATGGGTAGGAGAAGATTCAGATTCACAAAAGCAG